CAAAATGGGCAGGAACTGCTGCTGGGCATTGCACCCATTCTTTCCGTACCCTTAAGTCGGGCGTGTCCCCCCCCCCCCCCCTACAGGGGGATTTGGACGAAAAATAAAAAATACTCCAAAAATATTCAAAAATGATCTAAAAATATTCCAAAAAATGTTCCCCTGACTATTTTTTGACTGTTTTTGAATTTCCCCCCTGCAGAGGGACAGGCCCGACTTAACCGTACCCATGTCGGTCCTCCCGATCCACACGGGGCCCCCGGAGGCCGGCCCTCCTCCCGAGGAGGGAGGGGAGGCAGGAAGATGCGCAGAGGGGGGACGAGCGGGGCGGAGGGGGGAGAACGGGCTACTATCAGAAGGAACGCTACTATCAGGGGAAGATACAGTCGAGCTACTATGAGAAGGAACGCAAAATAAGGAACGAAGCCCCTTCTTGGCCCCAGAAGCGCCTAGGTGCACGAGGAGTGATGGAGGGGGAGCCATGGAAGAGCTTAGGGAACAGCGAGCAGCGAGCCCCTTCCGCACCCGAGGCGTTCCTGATTTCAGCGTCTTGGCTGCACGCAGAGGAGGGACGAGCGGGGCGGAGGGGGAGAGCGGGGGGGGGACAGAGGGAAAGAGAACGAGGAGCAGGACCAAGACTGAGCGCGGAAGCGTCGGCGCCGATCTTGGCAAGCATCCACCTTGGTCATCGTCAGCTCGTGGGTCCTTCTCGCGAGTCGGCCACGGCTGGCATGGGCCATGACCAAGATCGTCGTCGACAAGATCTCGCGACACATCGGTCGTGGTAATCGTGCTTCTTCCCTCAAGGGGATGGCTGCGCGGTCATCGGCCCCCAGCCAAAAAATATGACTGCCCACGTCGAAGCAGAAATTGGCAACTCGCTGTCGCCACATGGTTCATGATGCTGATGAGGAGGACGAGCCATGTCTACGTCGCAGAGCAGGGGGGGGGGCTTGGAAGGGGTATGAGCGCATTTTCTATTTATTTTCGGCGATAATGGGCATTATAGGAGGGGGGGAGGGGCCTGGGGGGGTATAATGTAACGCCTCCCCCCCGCCGTGCGCACGGCGGCATTGAACGGAGCGCACTGGGGGGGAAGGGGCGTTACGTTATAGGGGGGGGAGGGGGGGGCCGGGAGCTATAATGCCCATCTTGCCCCAAACAAGAAAGAAACACGCTCGACATCGCAGAGCAGGGTGGAGGCTTGAAGGGGTATGCCACTCCTTGACAGAAGCCTTGCCCCGATCTGAGGCCGCCGCGATCGCCGCGGCGGCCTCCAAAGCCGATCTCGGACTCGGAGGCCTGGCTCGGGGCCGGATGTCACGCCACGAGAGGAGGGGGGAGGGGAAGAGAGGGGCGCAGGGAGCAGGGTGAACGAGAGTGCAATGTGGGTGATGATGATGAGGAGGATGAGGATGAGGATGAGGATGAGGATGAGGATGAGGATGAGGATGAGGATGAGGATGAGGATGAGGATGAGGATGAGGATGAGGATGAGGATGAGGATGGTGGTGACAATGATGGTGATGGTGATGGCGATGATGCTGATAGTGATTGTGATAGTGGTGGTGATGGTGATGATGGTGATGATGGTGATGATGATGATGGTGGTGACTGTAATGATGATGGTGATAGTGGTTGTGATGGTGATAGTGATGATGAAAATAATGGTGATAACATGGATGAATGATGATGACGACGACGATGATGATGGTGATGATTGTAATGGTGAGGGTGATGGTTGTGGTGATGGCGATGGTGATGATGATTATTGTGGTGGCAGTGATAATGACGGTGATGGATGTGGTGGTGATGATGATTATGATGGTGCTGGTAATGGTGGTAGTGAGGGTAATGGTGATGACGATGATGATGATAATGGTGGTGATGATGATGTTGATGGTGATGGTCATGGTGGTGGTGATGATGATGATGGCGATGGTGATTGTGATGGTGATGATGATGGTGATGGTGGCGATGGTGATGTTGTTGGTGATGCTGATGGTGATGAAGATGATGGTCACAATGGATGATGGTGGTGATGATCATGACGATTATGCTGATGACGATGATGATTGTGATGGTGATGCCGATGGTGATGATGCTGGTGATGATAATGATGATGATGGTGATGGTAATGATGATACTGATGGTGAAGACGGTAATGACGATGATGATGGTGATGGTGATGGAGATGGTAATGGTCATTAGTATGGCGGCGATGAGGGCGATGGTGACGATATTGTTGATGATGGTGATGATGATGGTGGTCGTGATGATGGCGATGACGATGATGGTGATGATGATGACAATGGTGAAGACGGTGATGGTGATGGTGATGCGTATCAGGATGGGTAATGGTGGTGATGATGATACTGACAGTAATGATGATGAAGATGATGATGGTGGTGATGGTGATCAAGATGGTGATGATGATGGTCATGGTGGTGATCATGATTGTGGTGATGATGGTGGTGATGATGGTGATGGTGATAGTGAT